CTTGCGCTCGCCAATATCGGTGACATCAACAAGGATAACTGCGAAGACTTGGCGGTGGGAGCGCCTTACGAAGATGACGGTGTGGTCTACATCTATTTGGGTTCCCGCACGGGGTTGATTAGTAAGCCCGCGCAGCGTATACAAGCCTCCGATCTCGGTTTACTGCCAGATCCGCTAGTCACATTTGGCAGTTCAATAAGTGGTGGCACTGATCTAGATGGAAATTCCTATCCGGATGTAGTTGTGGGCGCATATAATTCTTCAGCAGTGGTTGCGCTACTCTCGCGTCCCATCATTAATATACAAACGACGGCGCGCGGCAATGAACTGAGAAACATTGATCCAGCCAAATCGGGTTGTCTACATGACGCCTCAACGAATTTGACTTGTTTCACCTTCGAAGCCTGCTGTTCCATCGACCCTTATGAGCCAGCGTCGGCGAATAAAGATTTGCGGCTATTGTACACAGTCGAAGCAGAAACATTTGGTGGAAATAAGAAGTTCTCGCGCGTGCTCTTCGACCGCGACAATAAGCGTAGCAACGTGGTGAAGCGAGCAGTGACAGTGCGTACCAATGGACGCATGGCCTGTCAGCAGGTTACCGGGTACATCAAGGAGAATACCAGAGATATACAGAGTCCTATAAAATTCCGTTTAAATTATACAATTGTGGAACCAAAGTTGCCACGATCGGGCTTGGAACTATTGAACCCAATTTTGGATCAAACGCAGGCGTTCGTTGAGTTTGAAGGTACATTCCAAAAGGATTGTGGTGAAGATGATATTTGCGAGAGTGATCTTATATTGAATGCGGAACTGGACTTGAATATGGAAAGTGAGTACCGCGAATAGTTGGAATGAAGGAGTCAAGAATGGAATATATGAAAATTATATTTGTCCTTTTTTCAGATGATAACTATGCTTTGGTATTGGGCGAAAAGGATGAGATGCGTGTCAATGTGAATGTGTTGAATAAAGCCGACTCGGCTTACGAGACACAATTGTTTGTGGTGCATCAGAAGAGTGTCTCATACATTGCAGCCAAAAGAACGGTAAGTCAGCGGTAGTTTCTTTGAGCCTACAGATTTTTCTTATATATAGATGTACTTGCAGAACTCTGTGATCTGCAATCGTTTCAATGACACAGTGGTCGCCTGTAGTCTCGGCAATCCAATGCGGCGTAATTCTGCCGTTTATGTGTCGCTGCGCTTCGATCCCAGTGGTTTGGAAGTGGATGAGCGTAAGCTGAGTTTTCATGTGTTCGCCAACACAACGTCCCGTCTTATTGGTGATGTCAAACCCGATACGGAGTTGGAAGTGCGTGTGGTGAAACGAGCTGAACTTAGCTTACAAGGTTGGGCGAAGCCGGAGCAGAGTTTCTATAGTGGTGAAGTGAAAAAAGACAGCAAAGTTATGCAAATGGAAGATGTTGGCTCGCCGCTAATGCACACATACCAGGTAAGGAGTAGAGCTAATTCAAATTAAAGTAACTTAAATTAAATTAAAGTAATTGAACTACAAATTTATACAATGGAACAAACATTCTCTTTTATTCGCAGATCTATAATGATGGCCCCTGGAAAGCGCCGAAGGTCGTACTCACCATCTATTGGCCACATCAGCTGACCAGCGAGAAGAGTAAAAAAGACAAATGGCTACTCTATATAGAGGCCATGCCGATTGTGGAGAATGTTGAACTAAGCGAATGTTTCGTCGCGCCCGAATATGTCAATCCACTGAAGCTCGCATCGAAAACGAAGTCCGACGAACTATTCGATACACTACTAATGGCGCCAGCACCGTATATGATGCGGCCCACCAACAAGACGCAATATTTCAACCGCTACAGCACGTACAGCGAAAAAAGCGTCTACACAAAACAAAAGGCGCCACAGCGGCCGGGCCTATACGACGCGGACGATGATGACGACGACGACGACGAGGAGCGGTATTTGAATCGCGTGCGGCGAAATACAATCGAACGTATCATACGACCCGAACGCTTCATGGACATCGGCGGTGAGCACACCAATCGAAAACGAGATATAGTCGAATTAGATTGTAATAAAGCGACAGCGTCTTGTGTGAAAATCCAATGTGATATCTATAATATGCCCGCCAAGACCGAAGCGTACGTGCATATACGCGCGCGACTGTGGAACTCAACGCTAGTTTCAGAGTATCCACGCGCCGATTTAGTGCGCATTATGTCGAGAGCGCAAGTAAAAATACCGCTCGAATACTCGGTGGAACAGACTGAAGCGCATATATTGGTGAGTGGCGTCTAATTTAATTTAATTGAATTTTCAAGTGTAATTCCATTTTTTATCACACTCTGATTTTCAGGTGGAAACGCGCGCCTACCCCGAGCTGCTCGATCAGCAACGCGAGCAACCCACATCCATATGGATTTACATAGTTGCCATCATTTGCGGCCTCATCGTATTGGCCGTGGTCGTATTTGTGTTGTGGCATCTCGGTTTCTTCAAGCGACGACGACCCGATCCCACGCTAAGTGGTAATTTGGTAAAGAAGAGTGAAGAAAAACCATTCCTGAATGATGCGACGAGTAATGGGCGTGGCTTCTAACAACAGGGGACAGTCGGGTGGGATCTCGCGCAAAGAGCGCCGCCTAAAACACAACGAACATGCTGTTTAATATTAACGCAAAGCGTTGAGCCTGCGATTGTCGCTACCGCAGCCAACAACAATAGCACCAACTACAATAACAACAATAATTATAATAGTAACAATAACAACAACAACTTGAATACAAATGGCTATGGTAGCGTGGACTATAAGCACGCTTGGAGCGGTAATGGACAAACAGATGCAGCCGTCATTGATTGGGGCTCACATTGGTGATAGGCCGGCAGGCAGGCAGGCAGGCACGCATGCGGGGCGAACCTATCGCTGTCGACGTGGGAAAGTTGACTGGGTTGTAAATTAAGGTGTTGCGCTCTACATACAGAATATTATTATTATATAACTTTTTTCATGGGTGGTAAATGTCTGTGCCATTTTACTTAATGTAGACATAAAATAAATATATTTGTATGTATCCTAGGAGCTATTATGTATGTATGTGTATCTCCATAGAGCTAGTGAAGCACTGCCATTTTCTGATTGGCTAGAAATGGCAGTAAAATTTGCATTCAATGCACAAAAAAAAAATTGTTCATAAATATATGTATATTTAGATGTAGGGTTTAAAAAGGCCTTATTCATGTATATACATAATTTGTAAGTTTATAGGAATGCGTGAAAGTAGTTTGTATTTGTTGAGGCTCACTAGGCGTGAAAGGGTTTTGACGGATTCCAATTCTTTTTCCAAATTTTGTTTGTTTGTCATTTTCTGTTCAAAACGATCACGGAAATACCTTTTTTAAATTCACAATTTACTCCATGTTTGTTTGTTTTATTATTTACTGTAATTTTATTCAATTAAATTTTATATATGTATGTATTTTTTATTTTTCCCTTTTATTTTATTTTTATTTAGTTCTTTATCTAATTTTGTTTATTTTTAGTGCATTGTTTTACTTTTTCCATTTCATTCTACTTGAACGTTTTCATTGAAGAAGCTTTGTTTCTTTTCATTTTTAAACACACAAGTGAGTCTCGCAAAAAAAAGTTTTTCTTAGCATAATTTTTCTTAGTTAAAAGTTAAGAAAATCTGCCTGCTGCCAACTTACAAATTTGTATTCAGTAGATAAGTAGTTTTTGTAAATATAAACGACCTATTACCATGCCAATGAAAAAACTAATCGCATACCTATTGATTTAACTACTACGCCTAAAACTTTAACGCCGAATATATAAGTATTGTTTCGTCTTTTTCACTATTAGAGCGCTTAAAGCCAAGTTTTTGGGGCACACTTTTAGGCGCAGTAGGTAGTTAAATCAATTGATATGGCGATGAGTTTTGTCATTGCCGTAGAAATAGTGCGGTAAAATCAAGTTTTTTAGGCACAATTTTAACTTTTTCATTGGCGTGCGAATAGGGTTGTTAGTTTAAGAGCTCATGACCGTTTCCAAAAGCAAAAATTGCTTTGAAAAACATTTCAAATTGCGATGCTGAAAAGTAGGCTAGAAACAGTTTAAATACAATTACAACTACAAAATTTTATTAAATGCAAAAGTACGCTTTGATGTGGCCTAATTTTAGGCACTGAGTTTTTCGAAATAGTCAAAAATATTTGTACGCATGTATGTATGTGCATTAGACCATGCCACCTTACAAGCAAACAAAAAATGTTGACCCTACACACCTGAGTTAAAAATATTTTTGCAAGGCAGTTTCGAAAACAAACAAAAAATTCGCCGAACCTAGGGACCGACTTTTTAGATTTTTCAGGCGCACCTACATTTAGCAATAAAAATTATTAGAAAAAGTATAATAATTTTTAGAGAGCTTTCATTTACTGACGCTGGGGGTACTAGAATATTTAATCAGGCTCAATGAACTTTTGAACAGAAAAAAATTTTCTCCTCCTTCTGACAAGAACACCGATATATCACACTTTAAGAACCGACTGTAATTGCCGTAGATATGACGAAAAACTAAAAAAACGCGACTCCTACATTTTTCCAATTTTTTTTTCTGGTACGGTCTAATGTGCATATAAATATGCACATATTAGAAATTGTGCTAGCGTTGTAGACTTACCTTTATTAAGAAACTTCCTTTAATTAGGTATCAATTTGTAGCGCGTATAAGCGAAAGCACAGTAAATAGTTTATTTCGAATTTTATAAATACACACGAATACTTTTAAATATTTATAAAAATTACCAGTAGACGACGAAGACGCTTTATAAAAGGTTGGTGAGCCGGGAAAAATAGTTGCTAAAATAGAAGAATATAATAGAATAGATTATGAAAGCACGCTGTTAGGCGTAGAAATTAAAAAAATATGAGAAAAACTTATTGGTTTCATAACGAAACTAAAACAGAACAAAACAAATTGTTGTACATACATACATACCTAAATAAAAGTGTTAAACATTTGTAAATTAAAAAAAAAAAAATTAAAAACAATTTTACTTAGAACTATGTAATTGGCTTTAAGATTCTGTATACATTAGACCGGACCGGACCTCGTACGAAAGAAAAACGTTTGTAATTAATTACTCAGCCTAAATTAAAAGCTTACTTTAGAGTATTTTGTGTGAAGAACAACCCATTGTTCTGACAATGTCCTAAAATAGGCAAATTTGCAGTTTCTTCATAACCTTTTTTTTTATTTCTAAACCGATTTCGGGGTGTAATGGACAGTGTAAACGGTATTTTCGAGAGGTTAGGAACTACTATGTATATCATAACATACCAAAATTTTAAATATGTTAACTAAATTTGACTTCAATTGGGTAAAAATTGATAAAGTTGGCGAAGTAGCTAATTAACATTATCATAATACAAAAAAAATATATTTTCAACTATACCTTACACTCGTGAAATCGGGCGACAAACACAAATGTTATGAACCAAATTTGATTTTGGCTACTTTTAGAACTTGGCAAGGATGAAAATTTGTTTGATGCCAAAATCCTCATCAAGTTAGAGTTTAAACTAACTAGTAGGTGGCGTGTAGTGACAAGTTTTTTCCGCGACCCAGTCCAGTATGCATATAAGTATTTTAAGCAATTAGGTACTCAAGCTCGAACTTATTTAATACTGAAGCAACAAAAAAATGTATTGTAAGTATCGTCGTTGTTAATGCAAATAACAGTAATTGTCATCTTTTTGGTAATTCATTTTTTTTTCACATTCAGCTAGTGTACCTTCAGATGTAGTTCCAAAAAGTTCCGAAATTACATTGCAAATTTTAAATGTTTTTCGTTTTACTTTTCCTGCAATATTTCAAATTTGTCAATTACTGCGTTTTGCATTGATGGTGGCGATGTGTACATAGCACTTACTGTAAAAAATAGTAGATACATACATATGTATGTAATATGTATGTATTTTTGTAAGTTTACGAAGTAAAATAATTGTATAAAAATAATAAATTAATAAAGCAAAAAATAAAATAAAAAAATTGCTGTAAGCCGTGCTTGCAGATATTTTAATTTGTTTACTTTTAGTTTAAATTTAATTTTTAAGATATATTTAATTTATTTCGTATTAGCTATACATATTGTGTCATTAATTTTTATAAATACAAAAATTTTCAACAACTGCGATTTAAATTATGACAAGAGTTGTGAAATGAGTTTGTCTAAAAAAATAATAAATATATTTGTAAATATGTCCGTCACTGTGTTTTCATGAAAGCTGGAATTGATTGTGCATATTGTCGCTCAGTAGTGCCAATGTTCGTTATCTACATAAGACAATAGTCAAAATGAGAGACAAAGTTCTCTATTGTTGTTGTTGTTGCAACAGTATGGAAATTTTCCAAAGAGTTTTTGGGGGAGTGTTGCTGAAGTGATAGCCCATCGCCAGGTGCAATATGTAGACCCGACTGTCGTAGGTACAATACTAAAAATAAAAAAAAAATGAGACAAAGTTCTTCTATTTATGTGGCTACATTAAAACAAACGGGATAAATTATAAGTGAAAAGGACATAACGGCTCGGTGAAATATTCCAACGCCAAATAGTCCAATTATTTATGTGTTACCTTAATTCACAAAAGCCCTAACCAACACTTTTTTCGAAACTGCGTTTTTTCACAGATTTTGGTAGGATGTATTAAAAATTTTAATTTAAAATACACATTCAATACAAATTTTAAATTGCTAGCACCAAAAACAACGGAGTGACATGCCACTTTTTAATAGCCCTACCTGTTTTTAAGAATCTTTTTATAATTTTTTTGCTCCTCCTATAAAATAAGAAATTTGTTGGAGAAGCTGATTTGATTTTTTTTTTACAAAAATTCTTAATTGGCAAAATGTATTTGCATGAGAATCTTCAAAAAATAGCGATTGAGAACCAACTTTTGAAACGTGTGCTTAACTCAAGAGCATAAATGTTGATTATTGGGTTCTGCAAAGTATGGATTGATGCTTCTGGAAGGAAACAAATTTACAAAGTAAAAAAATCGCAACAATTTCTATTTTTCAGTTTTTTTTATTTAAAATTTTGTTTATATTTCAGGTTGCCCGCGATGATATTTATAAAAGTAGACTATTTTTTACACTTTAGATACCAGAAGCAAAAACAAAATACAAGTAACTGTAACGGCGGTAACCGAGTATTACTAGGAGATTTTAAAGTTTGCATCGGGAGACCCGCATCCCAATAGCTCAATTCTGCCAATTGCAGCAGGCTAGGCGCATACCTGAGCATGCCAACCAATACCCCACCCCGCTAACGCCACGACATTAGTACACTGGTAAACCAGGATAAGCGGAAAACGTGAAATGAGCACCTCAAAACCTGCAATCTCTCCAGCGGAGCTAGCAAACTGTGAACGAGAGTAAAATCTCTTTCCCAACGTAAGTACAGCGTTACCCTTACATTCGGTAATACCACAACGTCGGGTCCATGCGCGCGCTTATCCAGCGAGCAGTTTATTGCACACCCGGAGAGAGGCAAAGTCCGCCACAGTATGCTACGTAAAGCACACAACCTCCGCCCCCGAGACACACCAACGTGCTTGACAATGACAATGACCTATGATAATACGGTCCTACTCGTGGTTGACCTGTCGAAGGCATTCGTACGATAGACCACGCGACCCTTTGCCAGCAAGTCCAGGACTCGTCGCTTCCGGATCGGACAAAGCGGACGCCAATCAACGGTCGAATTCCGAAACGCAGTCCAAGCTGCGTAGAATTAAACAGGTCCACCAAGGCGGTGTACTTTCCCCGACAAACTTTAAATAAAAAATCCTAACATTTTTTAATTTTTATTTTGCAAAATTTATTTTCAAAATTCATTCTTTACCTAATATACATAGTTAATAATCAATATTATAAATAAAAATTGTAATTAACATTAATAAATAAATTTTTACATACATACATATGTGGTTGCTTAATTATTATTAGTATTACTTATTATTAGTATTACCCATTTGCACATAGATGTTTTCAAAAGTTGCACAATTTCTTTAAAAAAGTGAAGCGATTTTTTTAACATTATAATCAAAAGAAAGATAATCGATTTACCTTTCTTATGATATATATTAACAGTCATTTATAGAGGTTCACAAAAATTCGGTTTCCTGACAACTTGGCAACCCTGCAGTTGATCCTGCGCTTAAACCTCACGACGCTCGGGCATCTGAAAATAAAATAAAGTTTAAAACAAAGTTAAAACATTAGTTAAATTTAAAAAACCTACCTTCTCGGCAAGAGCGCTTTCTACGGCGGAAAGCCTTTTCAATATTTCCTCTTCTCGAGCCTCCACTCTTCCAAGGGCAGCGAAAATTTGTTGTAGCGCTGTTGAATTTCATAAAATTTAAGTATAAACTAAAAATACAATCAACATATGTATGTTGCTAATTTAATGTACCTGAGTCATTATCCACGGCAGGTTGGGTGGCCACACGGTCCAGTAAAGGCTGGGACATGTCGAAACGGCGAGATACTCCAGCTATAATGAGATCGTTTCAATTAGGAGAGTGTCACTAATATAATGAATACTGATTCTTCTTACCATTTGCCTGACTAATATCCAGCTCCTGCTCCCCATCAACTATGTATTTGAATTCCATTTCTTTCTAAGTAAAATTATAAAATACGTTATGTAACATAGGAATTAAAATAAATTTATTCCCTACTGGAATAGCAAAATACTTATGGTCTATATCTTCTCTCTTAATAATTTGAATGTCTTCATCTATAATTTGAGCTACAAAATACCTAAATCAGATGAGGACACCACGGGCCCCCTAAAAATGTCCCCAACCTTTGTCAACGCCAAAACTGTCTGTTTGGGTTTGTTGGTTCACAATTTTTAGGGATCCCGTTTTTTTACTAAAGAAGAAACTCTCCTTTTCTTTTTTTTCGATTTATAATAAACCTATCTATTTGTGAAATTTTGCTAGAATCTGTAATATCTTTTCGTTCTTCTATTCTCAAAAATAATTGCTGCAATATTTTATTTGGATTCTTAATAATTTTTTTTTATATATTGTATACGATTTTCGAATTTATATGCAGAAAAATTGTCTAAAGGACCAAATTGTTTAACGCAATCACTTAAATGCAAAAGAGCATGGACATTGGAACTGATTAAATGTTCGCCGTAAAAATTACTAAACAACTTTACAAATTCTTTTAACACTTCATTAGCGACATTAGATTATACTTGACAAGACTTTTCACAAGAGAGAAGGCGAATACCGACATGCAACAAAAGAAAATACAACTTATCCAGTATGCAGTCTTTCAAAACAATGAACCCCGAGTACAATAAAAATTGCCGGTATTCTGTCGCCTTCCAGTTGCTTATTTTATCCAGATCTCGACTGAGTCTGGAAAATTCAGAGCGAACGAACTTATTCAGAAAAATATTTTTTTATTCATCTTTGTTACGTTCCTTTTTTTAATAAGCAACTGGAGTAGTTTTTTGGTTACTCCTAAGCCAACTAAGTGCATGGGTTCTAACGGAAATTAAGAAACCATGCCAATATTTACAGATTCTAGTATTAAGCTACACTTTCTAAATATTCGAATAATACTTAATTTTTTTGTTTACATATGTACATACATACATGTAGGTAGTTATAGCCAATGGCTGGCATTCTGTTGCACTTTTCACTGCACGTTATGTTATTGCTTATATATGTACGTGTCGGCAGTGATACTGCAAAACTTTGATGATCTCTCACCCGTACCTTACAGCCAAAGGAAGACATTTTCGTCATACGTTTAATCGAGTATAACTATTGGCAGATGTACCCCGGTGATGGTAACATATCAGCGCCAGGGGTAATAATTGCTGCAGAAAGTATTGCAGTATCACCAACGATACATATTTATTTAGTTGCGGCTGGAGCAACCGCGTTTCCTAATATTTAAACCAGTCGTGCCCAACGTTGGCAGAACTCTATAAGCAAGTGTCCTGCGCTGGCAGAATTCCATATGCAAGTGCCCTGGGCTGGGCATGACTGATTTAAACAATAAAACTCACCGAACAAGGTAGCTGGAATATTATATTTATTTAGTGCTGTTGGCGTCCAAGTTGCTTACGCGTTGAATGTGGAGTGTGCTGTTGGCGTGGAAGGTGCTGATGTTTGGCAATCTAAAAGAAAAAATTACATTATAATCAAATGAAATTGTTAACAAAGTCCTCTTACCTCCAAAATTTTGCACGAAATTGATGTTTTTCTTGCAGCCTACTAGAATCAAATTTGGAATTCGCTGTAAAATTTCGCCCGATTTTCACTTTCTCGCTCTAACGCATTTAGTTCTTAATAAGAGTGCGAATTCTTATTAGCTACGCTGCTCTTACTTTGGGAATTTTTTTTTCGGCAACTTTTGAGTGTGTGGATGAGATGACAAAAAAGTCGGGTATGTGTTGGTAAATCATTTGAATTTCAGGGGAAAGTGGTGAGCACTGGCTGGCAGGGATTTTGCAACGCAGTGTACGTGCATATGTATTTCCTGCAAGGCATCATCGTAAGCGTGTAGCTGGCCTTAAGCTCCGGCTCGATTTCCGGTAAAAATTCTTTAGCTTGAGCTAACTTCATCAGCACAAAAATGGAGTCTGAGTTTAAGCTTAATTTTTGTGCATGAGGCCCATTGCAATCACAAGACAATTTTACTTGTTGAATCTCCATATGTATGTAATCGTAACATCCGTTCACGGATCGAAAACCATACGAAAGAAAAATTACGTGATACGTCAGTCGTATAAGATGAATAGGATAAAGAGTACGTTCACGTTCTTCATAATTACGTGACGAGTAGTACATCGTATGTGACGTTTAGAGCCCAGAACCACCCAAAGCGCCAATTCCCGTGAAAAGTATAAAATTAACACCGAAATAAATGCGGTGTAAAAGTGGTATTTTTATCACTTCGCAATAACGCAGAACGAGAATTGCTCTCAGGTCTATGTACATCTGGAAAAGGATTGTCATTCCAGCTGATACCCTAAAAATTCTGACGAATTTTTATGCCGTTCCAACTTAAAAATAATGTCGAATACTGTTGACGGCTACACCCTCTGTGGCGTCCCTTATCTACACTTCATCTTATGTACTTACGGAAACTGGTTTATTACGAGGTTCTTGACTAAAAAAGAACACAATTTTGTTACCTTGTGAAATAGAATATGTACATGTGCTAATTGGGCACAAAAAAAAAGAAACCACCTTTTTCAGCTACCTCAGCAAAAAAAAAAACAACAAAGCATACATACATGTATTTACTTAATTAACAATGCCAATTTTGTAAAATTCGATTTTTTATTTACTCGTTTTTTCATCGTATGTATGATGGTATGCGCGTATGTATCTAGATTGTTTGCAAAAATTAGGGCAAAATTTACACACAAAAAAATATATAATAGAACAATCAAAATATGTGGAATTAACCAATATTTTAACGTCACATTCCACATCTTTCCATGACTAAATTCAAGCATTATGATAATAACTGTTTTATAGAGCTGATTTTTTTTAATGTTTCCAGGTATTTCAAGCAGTGTCATCGCGTATTGCATATTTTTCTGCTAAACCCCAATTTCTACCAAATGTTTGCCGACAGTTAAATCCTTCAATACCTGATGCTGCACTTTGACACATCTTCAATCCTGTTCGCAACTGTTACACTATTTCGCATGCCTCCATGCTTTTATTTTATTTTTATTTTTTTCTAATTTGTGGATGTAATACGTTAGCTTTTGTCTGCTTTGCCTTTGATTAATATAAGCTATCGGCATTAGATGAACGTGGCTTCTTCAGTTTCTCCAAGTTCTTTATGACTATATCATGCAGAGATGAATAACGATTTCGCACCTCACATACAACCAACCACAAGCTTAAGTACTCCTTTTCGTCCAACTCCATCACCGCACGCCGGTAATCTTCGATATGTGGATATTTGGCCACTTTCGAAACGACTTTGGCACGGGACAGAAAATAACGTGAAATTTGGTCGAAGAATGCAGCTGCTTCAGATTCTACTGCTTGTATTTCAGCAAGTGTATCTTCTTGCACAGATACGCCAAAGTTGTTGCCGTCCTCTATTTTCGGTATTAAAAATGAAATCCACATTTTTAACAAATTGGCTGGAAATGTAAAATAATTTATAATTCAGTTATTCAATTGCACTCTCTGACCGAATTAGCCGGGTATTGTTGAAATTACTTACAATCTTCTACAAGTTTGCGTATGATTGGTTTAACGATTTTGATGATCTCGCAGAGTGGCTCATTGCAAGGTACCTTACCGGTAGGCAAGCACATAACTTTGGTGCCAGGCACAAAGTGATCAACGCGTGGTCTTTTTGCCGCCGGCTGATCGGCGTCACCACCATCTTCAGCCGCCTCGGCGTGATTGTTCACCAAAACAGGATCTGGCGTTGGAATGTTAAGATCGGCATGCACTTCGTTGAAGTTACGTTCACTAAACATAGGTGTAGCAAGAATCTCATTTAATTCAACAATCTTTTCTGGAAAACCCTGAATAATAAGTTGTTCAGCCTTCTTAATAAGAGAATCTTTGTAATCTTGAACTTGCTGCAAAAAACGTGGAATTGATTAAAATATACAGAAGTTTATGTAAAAGAAATATATTGTTTACCTTGGTCATAGTGTCCGCGGGCATTTTCGCTGGTTTTCGAACTATTTAGTTGCTATTTTAGTTTAGTTTGAATTGTCCTCGTGGAAGTCTATGCAATTAGTTTTAGATTTGCAAGTCAAAATGTGGCAATATGCGTTTTGTTTTAGCGAAACAAACAGCGTTGCCGAACGGAACAAGGTGACACAAATGTGAGCCGGAATTGAAACACACAATTTGCTTGGAGATTTCTGCGATGACGTTGGTAAGTGCATTAACTACAAATGTGCGGACACGGACATCTATAGGGTAGTACGAGACTTAAAATTGCTCACAATTGTTCCCATTATTTGATTAAAGTGCCAGAAAACGTAAATGAACATAGCACCATGCACCGGTGCGTGTCTTTGCTAAGTAATAACATGACTTCCTCTGCTGTCAGCGTAGGATGTTGTTGTTGTCGTTGCGTTTGACAATTAACTACCGCTATTTTAGTAGCGTCTATTTTTCGCGTGGAAAAAAATGTGTGCAAATTTCGAAGTGCTTTAATTTAGTGAAAACTAAAGTTAATATAAGTAAAAATGGTGGAAAATGTGTGGAAAGTGAAGCTCAGGTGTTCTTTTATGTTTTGTTTATAAAAAAATAATAGTGTGTAATGAAATAAGCATCCATTGCGGGTAAAATCTGCAGCGTCTCGCAGCCATTCTGCTATCCAAAGTTGAAAGTGAAATTTTATGCTTTATTAGAGTTTCTAATATTTGAATAAATTCGTGAAAAGTGTGGAAAGTGTGTAGTGTATCGGGATATTATAATCGTTCAGTTTAATATGCTTCCTGCAGCCGGCTTGGTGCTTATTGTAATTTTCCTACTGCCGCCGGCAACGGAAATGTGTGCAGTCGGCCAATTGCCGGGATGCTCCTGCTTAAAATGTTGAATTCCTCCGGAAGTGAGAACGTATAAACAAATTGCTTGGAAGCAACCAAAATATGACAGGTAAAACTAGAAGACTTTCAAAGACATACATATTTATGCGAGAAAGTACATATTTACGCGTTTATGCTTATTTACGTATATATCACGAAACATTTTCTACTACGCAACCTCAAACTCCATTTAAAATCAGTCAATTTTGATGTCGAAATATAATTATCGTATACAGTTACCGAAATAAAAACTGGGACGCGACATTTCGGCATGTTTTGGCTAGTTTTCTTTGGTTCATTATTTTTGCTGTTGTTTCTTTTTTTTTGTTATTAATGGGCTTGTAACAATTCAGCATTTTTTTTGAGCTTATTGTTGTTCTTCCACAACATTTTTTCATTAGAAACGGCCTCAAGCTCAAAAAAAGCGTTCAAAACAGTTTATATTTTTTTATGAATCCAAATATCAAACTTTTTGCGAGAATTATGAAAATTTCACCAAAATTTTTAATTTTTTAATTGGCTTTTTTTATACAAAAAAAATGTCGAACATACACTGTATGGAAAATATGCGTAACACCGTCATCAAAAAATAATAATAATAATAATAATGCCAAAAATCAATAGTAAGTCCTAGATACTTAATATTTGCACTTTATTATACTAAGATATAATTCATAAATTTTTTCCTAAGATGCTGATTAAAAACTTTGATGAAATTTTGCAGAATTTTCATTAATTTTTGAATGAAATTTGGAAAACTAAATGAACTTTAACAAATGTTCATCACAATTAGAAACTTGTTAATAAGTTTTTTTTTGCCCTAGCTAGTCCTAGATGCTTAAAATTTGCACTTTATAAATTGAATGGGCTACAAAGCTGCGTACTTAGAATGTTTCTAATGACTTAAAAACCTACAAAGGTTAAAAAAGTAGCGAACTAGGCAAGAAAAGGAACTAAAAATTATAAACAAGGAAAAGGCAAGAAAAAAAGGAAAATAGGATAAAAACGAAAAAAAAAATATTCCCTAGTTTTATAATAAAAGAAAAATTGGTATAACTCCAAGTTTCTAACTTGTCCGACTTCTGCTTCAAGCTTTTCTTTTTAACTAACGATAGCTGTTCGGCTTCTTCAAAAAATCGGCCGAAGTTTTTTGCCTAAGAAGAACATTTTTGCTCAACTTTTTTTAAGTTTCACAATTTAAACTTTGCCAAACTGAGATGAGCGAAACGGTAAAGATAGTTTATTTTCGGAGGAATCAACAACTTCCAAAGGTATTAAAAGTCAATTTAGGATTTTTTTAGCAAAATATCTCAAAACCCAATGCTAGATTCATTCGATTTTTGAAAAAACTTTACAAATTTGTATAATATATAGAATGACATCAACATTTCTAAAATCCATTCATTGGGTTTCGAGGTATTTTAATTTGAAAATTTTGTCCTTTGGTAACTCTTGTAGTTGTTGTTTCCCCAAAAAATAAAATATACTGTAATTTATTTATATATATGTACATCAGTATATATATTTTTTTGTTCTCGTCCGTCCCTATTTTATTAACGCCCCTTATTGTCTCCAAAAATTCGTTGGCTGAAAAAGTTGCTTTGAATTTCTCCAACACCAGTTTGGCAGTAAGCCACTTCACTTCTATAAGCCGCTTCGGAATCATATCCTAAATATTTAAACATTACCATAATTTTTTTTTATTTTTATTAAAGGTAAAAAAGGCAAAACCAAATGTGTGTATTTGGAATCAAAGAAAGCTAAATCGAGACCATTTTAAATCGTAACTACTCAATCTTTTAACAGAAAAAAATACTACCGAATAACGAAAAAAACAGATTTTTCAGCAGACGCGCTTAATGTTTTAAAGCGCAAAAAAAGTATGTCTCACACACGGAAACTTCACAATATTTTAGCACGAAATTTTTCCACAATATAAAGCATAATAATTATAACGTGAAATTCTGCATCATTTCCTAAAAAAAGTCCAGTTTTTTTTTTAGTTAAATATGACAGTCTTTTAGTAAATGAGCGATAGCCCAAATTCCCTAGCAAAGTTGCATCGCCTTATCACTTCACCTTTTTTCACTTATTAAGTACGGGTTATTGTAATCAAATTCATTTACTATTTTGTTTCTTTTTGCTATTGGTTCGTGAGACTGTCACACAAACTTCTATAAAAGCATCTAAATATTTGCTCGTTTTTGAATGTCAATCGCAGCCACGGGGGGTATCTGCAGTTGAGCTTTGTGCATTTGCTTTCTTTCTGGTTTGACCATTGCCAATGTCGGTGAGTAGGGAAAGCCTAGGAGCAAGGACGACTAAGAGATGTGGTTGTTCACTGCCAATTACCCAACACAGGAGGTTGTGAGCGATGGTGGCTTTCGAGGTTTCAACAATTGCAATATTGTTTTGTTAGTATTTTTGTTAATATTGTGTGTTGCTGTTAACCGTGAATCGAGTAACACGGATTCGCTATATAGCAAAGCTTTTGAAAATTAATTAAGTTAGAGAAGTGATTTTCATTTCAATTGTTAAATGCAGCTGTTGCCATTTTGTATGTAATACATTGTGTGCTTTAATTTTCGGGTTTATTTTAAGTATGCACGTGTATGTGTGTATATTTTATTTTTGCTTTGGAGATGCAGCTGCCTAATTTGGCTTCTCAGTCGTTTTGTGGCATTTTCCAAGTAATCTAAAAGGGTTTAAAACTAAATTAAGAAGACATTTTGCGCAGGAAGCAAGTGAATCGTAGATAGGATAGAACTTCGCAATAAGATGCAGTAGCTTTTACTAAGAACACTGATAGGTAATATAATTGGTATATAAAGCAAAATTTAAGTTTCGTGCGAAATTTTTCCATGTAAAGTTATTTTTCACTTGCTTCAAGATATTTTTGATCCCGAGTAAATATTTTTTCGATAATTCCGTCTAGGTCTCCCAGACTTGAGGAGTGGCGCTTACACCTAAGACCGGCAAAATCTCTCACAACTCTACCAAGGAGTTCAGGCCAATCGTTCTCTCTTCGTTTTTGCTAAAAATCCTGAAGATGCTGATTGATCTGTACAATAATTAGCAACAGCAGCCCCCTATCAGAAGCTAAAACCAGCCTTAATACATTAAGCCATTACTGTGGGTGCCCTTCTCGACATCGTGGGTCAAATTCGCCAGAATTTTAGTTAAGCTTGGGGCTAAAACCGACAAAATCAAGCGTAGGTTAAAAAGGGTACACCATAGAGTCTTTGGGGTCTTTTTAAATAAGTGCCAGAAGAGAGGTAATAAGAAAGGAGTATTTGAACCAGGTGACTAAGTGGTCTGCGAAAAGTGGACTCGCTTCAAAGCCTACTAACATGCAACTTAACTTATGCACTAGGAATTATAAGATACCACAAGCGTCTCTTCCCTCAATTGGAGGCGTTCGCCCACATAAGTAGAGACAAGCATGTTTTACTTTGACTTGATTCTAGGCAAGAATCTGTCGTGGAAGCCAATGAAATAGTGAATAACGCATCAGCTACTCTACTCTTCTAGGTATTAGTGAACGACATGCAGTGGTTGCAAGGAGGCACCGGTCGACTTTTACATGGATGGGTCGAAGCTTGACCGAAGAGTCGGTAGATGGTTCCATGGAGCTTAAAATAAGGCTTTCAGATCACTATAGTATTATCCAGTGAAGTAATCTATTGGCTGCTGGTTTGAGCCACGCCGACAAGACCAGGCGGCAATCAAGGCGGTTATATCAGAGTAATTCGGGCCACGGCGATATTTATTGCATAAAACTGTATGGCAGATAAGCTGGCCGGGTAATGCACCTCCTAGTCGGCTTCACCAAAAAAAAAAGTAAAAAGTGAGAGCACCTTTGACTGCTTGTGGACTACATTTACTACAGATGAGTTCGTGCAAGTACTATCTGGTCAAGGGATCCCTTCTTTGGCTTGGAGAGAATCACATATTGCATGTATTATTTTTTGGTACTACGAACCAACACCTTATATGAATACCTTTTGGGAATTCATCACTCATGCGCAATCACTGTGATTTCGTGAATCGACGCCAATGGGATGCGAACATTATATGAAACAGGGCTTTTACATTCGTACATCTATGATATTTTCGTTGCCTAATTAACAAAATACTGAAATAAAGCGCGCCCTGATGCCGCTAATACACCCTCCTTCCGCTTTTCTTCCTGACTTTACAGCAGTTAATCCAATGTGACCTCTCATTAGAGTACTAAATGAATGACGACAAAAATGTTGT